TTTAATATTCACTCTTAAATTTCGTCCCATTAACTAAAATGACCCATATATGTTTTCAATCTGTAAAGTACTCAGAAAAAGACCCGCAATGTAATAAGTATGAATTTGCAGAATCCTACTACATGTACATGACTTTTAGGGACATTTTGAGGAACATGGAACTTTTCAAGGTGATATGCTTGTTTAATAATGTTAGGTTTTGGGGACTATTTGGACAAAAAAATCTGTGCGACCTTTCTTCAAAACGTTCATAGCAATATGAACTTGAAACTTATCCTGACGTCCTATTACTGTCACATCATTTTGACGTCATCAGGTACTTCATTCAGCGGTTTTCTTTAAGAACATGATTTTGATCATTATCACGTATAAACAACATGCTACTTTTTTGACATTGATAAACATATTTGATGTCCAAAAACAAAGTCACTTGACCATTACTTCCGAGTTAACCGGAAGGTCAAACTTAGGTTATTTACAAAATGCAGACAGACGCCTCATAATTAAAAAAAAAAAAGTTCAAACGGGTGGTGGGATGTACATAAAACACAGTATGAAAATGACATAATGACGCCATAACCTAAACGAGCGCCCTCTAGCAGTACGTTCAAGTATTTAACCATTTGCTAACATTTTACAAAATTACCATGACGATTTAGGTATGTAATGACGTCATGAAATTGTTATAAAATGTTGTTTCTCACAACCATGACTCGGAGCATATTTTATATCCTTATTTAGCTCCCCAAAATATTTAGCTCCCCAACATGATCATAAAAACAAGCAAATTCATATTTCGTCCCTAAATATTAGCAAATTCATACTTATTATATCTTATATCTCGTCCTTCTTCTGATTACATTACAGATCGAAAACACCTATAAACATTACGGGTCACTCAGTTATTACATGACAAAATTTGAGGGTGCATATTAAATTACGCGCCGATTAATAAACATTATGGGTCCATTGTTACATTTAATTTCGGGTAGTAACATTAGGGAGATTTAGATGCACGTTACGTGCATCATCATCTCATCATCTAGGCGCTTGCGCTCTCTGTAAGTGTCCTCCACTGCTGTCTGTCTAATGTCACATGCCAGGTGCATCGATCCTTGATGTTGACCCCCGTGGTTTTCAGGTCCTTGTTTACTCTCTTCAGCCACGTGGTTCGTTGTCCCCCTCTTGGTTGCTTGTTCCTGCGGATTGCCTCTAGAAGTGCTTGCTTGGCAGGAGTTTCCTAGGGTAGTCTCAGGAGATGGCCTGTCCACCTAAGACGTCTTCGGGTAATGGCAGTACTCCAAGGGGTCTCGTTGGTTCTCTTGTACAGTTCTTTATTGTTGATTTTCTTTGGCATTTTGTGCCAAGGATTGAACGCAAGAGCCTTCTGTGAAATGCATCAATGTTCTCTTCGTGTGACTTAGTCACTGTCCAAAGTTCACTGTAACGTTGTATAGAAATACAGTTGCTATGAAGGCGCGGAATGTTTTGAGTTTCGTGTTGTTAGAGATTGCATCACTGTTGAAGACATTCCTGAATTTGTTGAAAGATGCCATCGAAAGAATTTTCCTCCTGGTAATATATCTTGCTCAGTGTCAAGTAAAGATCCCAAGTATTTGCATTTCTTCCAACTGGTGTTGTTTCCGTTTCTACTGATGAGGTGTTTCTCTGTCTTAGACGTGTTTACTGTGAGGTTTCGCTCAGTAGTACCTCAGGTGCCTTCCTCTCCACAGCTGCTATCGGGTGGATATTGTTACTTGCCCAAGTGATGTCATCACTCATCAGCCATACTGTAACCCCATCTCAAAGTATACTGGTGGGCAAATAGGGTAGCTGTGGTTCTCGAGTTCCACAGGAAGCGATTGGGACTGTGTCTGCGTGCAGTAATTGTGATCCTGAAGAGTGAATGGTGTCTCGGGTGTTTCCGGGTCAAGTTGTCTCAGTGCTTTTGCCAGGTATTGAGTGAAGAGAATGGGACTTAGGCAACTTTAAGATGGAATTTTGCGTCGGGGTGATATAAATCAAATTAGGTTTTGCCCTTCACCGACGTTTTTTTTAAACACTGTATACTCAGTGTGTTACCTCCCGAGTGAAAGTTGGAAAAAATCACTCGGGTGGGACTCGAACCCACGACCTCCTACTTAGGCAGTCTCCTTGAGGCACGCCGATGTTGGTTTTGAAGGGCTTACCCAACTGGACAGTTCCCACTCTGACTTGTAATCGAAAGCAAGATTGCCAGTAAGTGGAGTTCGTCTTGCTCTAGTATCTCTTTGAGATCCTCAAAGAGAACTATATACTCTCCTCACCGAGTCAAGAGCCTTTGACATGTCGAGCAGCAGCAGTAGGTGGTGAAGGCCTTCTCTGCTAAGATCTTTAAGGCAAAGACCTGCTCAGTGGTGCCTCTGCCGTGTCGATAGGCTGCTTGGGAAGCTGGTATGTGGTCGTCTAATCTGTCGGCGTTACGTTAGTGTCGGCGATACGTTATCTGTCGGCGTTCGCGTATGTGCGTTACGTGCACGCGCGCATACGCGAACGCGCATTGTTACCACTGATCTCTATATAAAGACTGGATAGCTAATAGAGAGCCGCACAATGTACGAATTTGACGCCATATTGGTGAGACCGGCTGGTGATCTACAAAGGACAAGTTGCCGTCTTTATAGACAGCTTGATTTCTTTTGTAACGTCGCGGCTCACTTGACTTATATTTTGGCCACCACCACTGACCAACTGACCAAGGTTTACTACAATTTTTCTAACGTAGTGGTTACTTTTATAATGCTACAAATCACTTTTTCGGCGTTTTTGAAATAATAATCACTACGGAAATGTGTTCCTTTTAGAACATCATAATATGTGTACGTGACCAAAATGCGCGTCAACTGTTGATACAACGCGCGCGTATTTACGCGTAGAACGTTCGTATTATACGCGGCCATCTTCGTGAGACCGGGGGCGAATTGGTCCATATGCAAAGTCTACTGTGTGAATGTTGTATGCATATCCGCTTCTTCTTCTTCTTGCGTGTGAAAACCAAAACAAAGAGGTAGTTAGATCTCTGGGTGCTTGCTGAGAAGCCACTCTCGGGTTGCTGCATCAACATCAACATCGATCAGGCCTTGGTACTCATTTGGGGGGCGATAGAGGGGGCACTCGGAGATGATGTGGTCAGCAGTCTGCTGCTCCGCTCCACATTCGCAAGCTGGGCTCTGGGGATAGGCCCCACCTCCACATGTCAGCATTGAAACGCCCGACTCCGGTGCGGAGCCTGTTTAGTTTAACCCATGCCTGTCGTGGGAGATCAGATCCTGGGCAACTTCTGGATGGTACAGGAATGTATCTATGCAGATGGTTAGGGGATGACTGCCACTTCTGTGTCCACATCCTGGCCATCCAGTGGGCCTTTGACTCAGTGGGTTGGATAGTTGACAATAGATCCTTTCCACTTGAGGCAAAGGGGCGCCGGGATTTGAGTCTGGGTTGTGTCTGTTCCCTGCTGATAGCTTGGTGGAGGAGGTGATCTGGATCATATCCGCTATCCAGTCTGTATATAGAGATCAGTGATTGTTACTCACGTACCACGTACTAGGCCTAGCCTAGGCACTACCAGGAAATACAGGAATTCGGACGGACGTCCAATACGTGTAAAATGGTAAGTTCACGTCGGGTCAAAACGTGAGTAATTGCAACATTGTTTTAAACGTTTTTGGACAGTGCAATGAAAATATTTCTCTTTAGAATGAAAGTTCACTGATTATAAAGATGTACTTAATGGTCAAACTTCAGTCCACTTCGATGCATTTCTGATGTGCAAAAAGACCCTTGCTTGTGAAGTTTTCATGTTGGAAAGCATCGTGCATGTGCATCTATTACTATACGTTGCATGTAGCATGTAGCATACGTGTAGCGTAGACATGTAGGCCTATGCCCTTATGCAGCTCAGGCCTAACCATGGCGTGCTAACGTGTTTACATGAGCACCGTCATAAGTCTATACACGCGTAGACTATCCAGTTGTTTTGTTGTTGCTGTTGCTGTTCAGCATTGTTATTATTCTCTTGTGATTTCTGATGGAGACGTCCAAAACTAGGCCAGAAAATACGAGGACCATAATTATACTGAGTCAGTGAGTATAGGCACGTGGAGGATACAGAGGGAGTCCAGTAGATTTTGTTTTAGCATAGGCCTTAGCCCAAGTCTTTCTGTCCAGCAACATATTAATATTATAACTAGGAATATAGACAAAGATCATGAAAATGATTCGCAGATTTTGTTTCAAGAAAGCCAAGGACAAAAATAGGATTCATCAACATGTGGCAGGGCCAAGTTTTACTTGTGTATTTTCATAGTGTAATAAATAGGTGTAGCTCCCCTTCGAAAAAGAAAATCATTTTAGTTGAAGTTTAGATGCCCCCCCCCCTTTGTTGGTAGTGTGACCCCCTGTTTGTTTACTTAAGCCCACAAGTCCCCCCTATATACATTTTGTAAAGGCTGCCACATTGTCATGCCACAGTCATTATTAACCAGCAGACCAGCAGACAGACAAGATAAGGCCAAAAAAAAAAAGGCTCCGGTTTCTGGTATGGAGCTTGCCCAAAAAGTAGTGCGGCGACGCGGCTTTTTTTTTTTTTACCTGATTTTTTTTGCTTCAAATGTCTGGCTGATGACTACAAATGGTGCCCGACTAAACTTAGTGCAAATATATGGGAGTCCAGAGAGGCCACATAAAGCTTATTCTCGACCATAACCCAATCTAAAAACACGTTAAAATTGTGCAGCAGCAGGATTCCAGTCAAACCAGTTGAGTTTGGCGGTTTTGAGACATTTTCTTTCATGGAAAAAAACCCTTTTTCATTTTGCCGACGCGTATGGCTACGGCGACGCGCGCGCATACCAGAAACCCAAGACTTTTTTTTGGGCCTAACATAGCCTTTTATTTTCCTCCTAATTAGAGAGTGTTTTCCTGCTTGGATTTGTCTGCTTGTGGGGTCATTGGTGAGTTTTCTTTTGTATATTGTCCACTTTTCATTGATCATTTATAAGTATTTTTAGAACTTTATTTTGGTATTTCTTTTGGAAGTTTGTTAGATTTTTAGTTCAAGTAAAAGTGGGTTTGAGTCGGCTTTAAGCTTTGAAGAAATGCCAGTTCTGAAGTTAAGATATGGCCCTTTTCACATTATTTGGCTTAAGACATACATGTAAGTGTTTTCACTTCTTTTGATGAAGGTTGTTTTATCCTGCTTTTGGTGAGGAAGTTTTAGTTTTCAATTAAGACCTCTTTTTGAGTTTTTTTGAGAAATGTTTCTTAGTTGTTTTGTTTGTTTTCCGCAGCCTTGGTTTTACTTAAGGATACATTTTTTGGCCTTGTTTTATTATTAAGAAAGGTTGAAAGTTCATTTGGATTCTAGATTTTTGTGTTTTCCTGGTACATTTTCTTAGTGTTAAATATTTTCTTAAATTCTTGACCATGTGCTTTGGTTTTATCTAAAGAGATTTAATTCCTTTGTTCCCACGGTTCAATGGCCTAGTGTACAGAGTTTGGAGCCAGTAGAGTTAATTATTTTATGATGTGCTAATCCTTCACTTTGGGGATTAGTGTCTCCCACTTCCTTTGTATCTTAGAACTTGTTTATTGTGACATGACTATTCATTACGTTATTTTCTTATATGTTTTCTCTTTTGTTTTTTCTTGTTACAGGTTTTTAGTTCATTTCTGTACTTTAAAAGTCATTTTCCACTAGTGCTGTGTGGGTTTCCCTTTTTCCCCCTTTTTTCCTTTGGTTTTTATTCTTTTAACTTAGTTTTTTTGTAATCATCTCAAAAATGTATCCAATTGTTAATTTTTTTATCTTTGGCAAATTCTTTGGAGTGTTTAGAATTCATTCGTTTGATCCAGATTGAGAATTTTTTTATCTTGAAGTATTTCTAAAGACTTGTTTTTGCTTAAGGATAGAAATTGTTTGTTTTGTTCAGAAGATCTTTTTTTTTGTGAGACTGAATTAAATTTTTGAGAAGTCTATTTTTGTTTCCTTGATTTCTTTTCTTTTCTTTTTTTTGTCCCAGTTTAAAAAGTAAATCGTGACTAATCATTGAACCAGGATTTTCTTCAGTGAACCATTTTTCTACGCTACAAACAGCTGCTTACATACTAGGGCCTCCTTATTTTTTTCTTCAGAATTTGTTCTTTTGAAACTGGAATGCAACATCCTTGGAAATGATAGACAGTAGGTCAAACATCTCTATGTACTTTTAGTTTAATGGACAAAAGACACTAACTATACATTCATGGCAATAACAAAAGGCAATGTCTTGTGATGGTTGGCGTAGCGGTACTTTCCTCGCCTTCCACCGCTGTGACCCGGGTTAGAATCCCACCTGGGCCAATATGTGGATTGGGTTTTCAGCCCCTGCCTGATTCCGTGGGTTTTCCCCAGGATATTCTTCAAGGGTTTTCCTCCCACCTCTAAAACTGTAACTTCTTCTCATTGTCTTCTCTTCGCAGGTTTATCAGGCTTGCAAGCTACAGTGCCTAGGGCGCTTTTGAGGAATCCTTGGTTTCCTTACGAGAAATGATAATAATAATAATAATAATAATAATAATAATGGTTAAGTCAAAATTTAGCTTGATATTGCACATTTTGATCTAAAAACAGTCTAGATCTGGCCTAGTCTAGGGTCTAGGGTCAAGTGGCATATACTCTACTATATGGGGCCCATATGGGAAGTATCTGGGCAACCTGGGTATGGGCAAACCTCTATGTATCCCATATGGGACCCATATGGGTTATCCCATATGGGGGTCTTCCTGGGCTTTCCCATATGGGTGTCATATGTGGGAAAACTGCGCAAACCCATATGGGCTAGGAAATGGGAAGAAACTGGGCAAGCCCATTCGAGCAGAATATGGGCTGGCCCATATGGGTGTCATTAGGGAAAAAGCTGGGCAAGCCAATGTGGGGAAAATACGGGCTGACCCATGTGGGCGTCATATGGGATAAACCTGGGCACGCTCATATGGGCAAAATATGGGCTGGCCCATACGGGTGTCATTAGGGAAAAAGCTGGGCAAGCCCATGTGGGGAAAATACGGGCTGATCCATGTGGGCGTCATATGGGATAAACCTGGGCACGCTCTTATGGGCAAAATATGGGCTGGCCCATATGGGTGTCATAAGGGAAAAAGCTAGGCAAGCCCATGTGGGGAAAATACGGGCTGACCCATTTGGGCGTCATATGGGATAAACCTGGGCACGCTCATTATGGGCAAAATACAGGCTGGCCGATATGGGTGTCATTGGGAAACAAACCTGGGCAAACCCATATTGGGAAAATACGGGCTGACCCATGAGGGCGTCATGTGGGATAAACCTGGGCACGCTCATAATGGACAAAATACGGGCTGGCCCATATGGGTGTCATTGGGGAAAAAACTGGGCAAACCCATGTAGGCGGAATACTATACTGGCTGGCCCATGTGAATCCCGGAACATACCGTTATTTCGTTTTACCGTTTTGCATTTCCTCAAAACAAAAACAGTAAACAAACCATTGACCGTTTTGTCGTTTTACAGTTTTGTAAAACGGTCAAACGGTATCAAGATAAATACGGTCTCTCTGTTTTATAAGTTTAATAAAATTCATTACAGCATAACGCTCAATGATTTTTGTTTTACAGTTTTACACAAATAACTTTGAAAAACAGCAAAACCGTCAGTATTGAATACAGACTGTTTTTTTTTATGTCAGTGTCATATAGTGAGCAGTCCGTGGTGCATTTTGTGGTGCTGGGCAAGGGGGATGGAGGGGGAACATGCTTTACATGAAAAAAGTGTTACCTCGGCATAATGCGTGGTGTGATTCCTGGCGTGACCCTCACCCCCTTCTCACGCGAGGCAGTTGGTGGGGCTTAAGAGATGCAAGCAAAAATGGCGCTGGCAATGCCCCCCCCCCCTCTCAAAAAAAGAAATTACCAATTGCCCATTTCTTTTCTTTCTTTTTTACTCAGTGAGTAAAATTCCAGCAAGTTCAATATGCATGTTCTCCATTTTATAAAACTTGAGTTTGTCAACTCGCTATTACACAAAGCTGCGAAAAACGGGGGAAATTTTATTTCAAGAAATAAAAAGGTCATCGTATCCACGTTTAGGTATATAAAAAGTCGGCGATCGTAATGCGCAAGAAATAAATCTATGAAGATATGAAAACTATAGTAAGATATATCAAGTTAAACATTCAGCAAATAGATTTGTAAAAATATAGAAAATTCTTCAGGGATCAGTGGAGAGTACTATCACTCGGTTCCCTCGTATTTTGGAAGTAAAAGAAGCAGCAAATGACGGATGGAGATGAATAGCTTGCCTAGTAGAGTGATGTACATCGAAATTCCGAGAAACAAAATTAATGGATTGAAGAGTATAAGGTATTGGAATAGACCGATACTTTGCGGGGGAAAAATACGGCGAATGTACCGCATATACGAATACATAATTTCAGCCAAAGTGCATGTTCATGAAACAGGTTCGTTTTTTTGTACAAGACATTTAAATCATTTGTTCATGACGGGAGTTCCGAAGTTTAGAGGGTTCTTTTTTACACGCATGTATGAAGGCAAAGCGCAGACTGGAGCTGACAATCCTTTAAGTGTTTCCAACTATATATTAAGACTCTGAGTATATGAAGACTGTATGTACAATAGCATAGTGGTACCAGTCATCGTCCACAGACCGCGGGGTCCGGGGTTCGAAACGGACCGCGGTGCATTGTTTTTGTTTTCAGTACACGCGCTCAATCATTTACTTAAGAGTCTTAATTTCCCGTCGTCAAATACCAACCGACCTTAGCTCAATCAGTTAAGTCACCGGCTGGGACTGTCTGCAAAGTCCAGGTTATGCATCTACTCATAGGTACGGGGCTCTTTTGCTGTCTCGGCAGCAAGACATAGGGCGTCGCCTCGTTTCCTCCCTTAACGGTGCTTGGCCCTCCGGGGTTACATGGATGGATAGGGAAGGAGGTGTGGTGGGCCGGGGAATCCGAGACCCAGGAAGAGTCCTATATGGGAGTTGGTAACCAATCGCGACCCCTGAATGCTTGGTCAACACCACATAATTTTTTGTTTTTCTTTATCTCATTATTTTTTTCATTGTCGAGGCTTTAGGCCTATAAGGTACAGTAAAAACGAAAAGGTTTTCTTCAAAAAGAAATTCGCCCTTAACATTTTTCCAGTTGGGCTACTGAAACAGATTCTTAATTTTAAGAAGCCCGCATGTTTTTCTTTTAGTATGTCTTATAAACAAGATTGTACACACATGTAAAACATGGGGCTACTTAGGCTAGCGGACCACCGCTGAAGTCGAACCCTGAACTTATGTAACAGCTGTAGGCCTACATGTACTAACATTTCAAACACAACTAGAGGTCAAGGCGTTTGTGAGTTACAAACGCAGAGTGGACACCGTTGAGGGCTTCGAACTTGATGTTAAAACAAAATGGGTGAAAGCCGTACACAGGAGTGTGAGCTCGTGTTTCTGTGATATTTGCATGAAATTGGGCCCAAAAGTTGCTCTATTTTGCAATGGAGCGCATATGCATTTTGCAAAATGGCGATGGGCCACAGGACTACTTTTTCGGAATGACATCATTTGATGGAATTTTCTCCCAAACGTTATAGGATAAATGCACAAAAATAATGAAAATATAAGATGATGAAATAAGCTTTGATATGGTGGGTGTCTCAAACGCACGGTTCTGCACCTTGGAGAGTTGTGGGTAACATAGACTGATTACAGAATCTAATGCATATATATTTTTCATTTGTTACATTACCAAGAATATGGATCTAGAGGTTCTAGGTTTTTCCCCTGGTTGGGAGCCTATAATTAGAGCCAGTTACAAATGAGAATAAAAGAAATGCCTCGGTTGCTATTTTAAATCCTAACACGAAAAACACGCAACTAGAACTGTTTTGGCGAATGACGTTACCATTTTGAAACAGCCAATTATACGAGAACTACTTTTCGTACGTTCAACTCCCAAAACAAACTGCGCGTAGGCTTGACCGTTAAACTTGAATAGCGCCCTCAGTCAGCTAAAGGTAATCGCACAACTGATCGTCACTGTACACTGTACAATTATTATGTAACCACAAACAATTCTTTCTAATCACAACAACAAATGATCCCTTTATCTATCTTTAATATCAATATGAACACACGTAATTAAAAGGAGCTGTATCGGCAAACTACGTCGCCGAGACAGCTAATTATCTGCGAACTACTTTTCGTACGTATAACCCACCAACCAAACCTGCGTAGGTTTGACCGTTAAACTGAAATAGTGCCCTCAATTGACTGAGAGTATCGCCACAAACATTCATCATTGAACAATGTACTCGAATTCCTTCCAATCACTACAGCACCAAGGAATTCGATAAAAGCACCTTACTTTCTCTTCCAATATCGGGCGTTTACACTATTGACAGCGCATTCTGTTACGTAATGTTTTTAGCGCGTTCATTGTGACACCGAATTGCCTATTCAACTGCACTCTCGATGGAGGAACCACCCCTCACTCAAACTATTCTTCCTTTGTTTCACTTCTTGCAATCGCGCGACCGTTCAGTCCGGTACTGCATGGTCTCGCACTCACGAATGTATCAGGCCAAACAGTGGGGGGTTTTTAAGGCGGGCCAAAATTTTTTTTTGGTTCCCCGAAAAAAAATGTTTTTTTTTTTTTTTTTCATGTTGTACGCTGGTGGCTGTCTTTTTTGCGACGTCATCTTCAAAAGATATGGTTTTGGTGATTTTTATTTGGGGGGGGGGGGGGGGGGTGGCCCCTGTTGCCCCCTCCCCCATCCACCATTGTGTTTATATGTCCCTATTCATCTGTGGCATCTTGACAAAGCCGATTGGTTGTAACCGACTTTTTTCCCATTGAGTAAAATTCCAATGCATGTATTCCACCTCATAAATCTTGAGTTTTCAACTCGTTATCAATTATGCGATCGAAGTCATCGATTCGTGTTTTACAAAATTTTTGATTCAGGAAATAAAAAGGTCATCATATTTTGGTATATAAAAATGGAATTCATAGCTCTTGCGGAAGTTATTAACATATCCCATCCCTGTCCAGTTTATGAACTGTAGGTTGTTCGATATAAGGAGGGGCTTGGAAAAGAGTAATTGCTGGGGCGTTTCTGTTTAGTTTCAATACCGTATCTCGCTTCCAA